TATACCGGTATATATATATATACCGGTATATATATATATACCGGTGTATATATATATATATCGATATATATATATCGATATATATATATATATTGATATATATATACACCCATATATATACATATCGATATATATATACACCCATATATATATCCATATTTATACACTCATATATATATATATCCATATAGATACACTCATATATATATATATATATATATATATATATATATATATATATATATCCATATATATACATACCCATATATATATCCATATGTATACACCCATATATATATCCATATATATACACCCATATATATATATATATATATATATATATATATATATATATATATATATATATATATATATATATATAAATATATATATATATACACACACACACACACACACACACACACACACACACACACACATTTACATATACATACAGCAATATACACACAAACATATATGTATATGATGACATAATAATTTTGCAAAGAGGAGGCAATTCTGAAATCGTACAGGAGTAAGAGTAATAACTAGATATTTGGGATAAGTGTGCAGATTAATCAATTCTAAATCCATGCGCGTGCACTCACACACACATATGCACGCACGCACACACACACACACATAAATACACAAACAAGATTTAGTATCTGAAGTGCTATCATCTATTCTGGCCAGCGAATACTATTAAAATCATTAATTGAAATTAAGTCATTATGATCTAGAGGAGGAGACTTGTTCATGCTCATTTCCTTATAGACACATTCTACTTACCTCAGACTTTAAAAGTAAAAATAAGTTACCAGGTGTGTATCTGCGTTACTTATTAAAATCATACCTGACATACATATTACAAATAACACCAACAAACCAATCACTTGTGTAGTCGATACAGGAATGTGCTTTTCAGTAAGTTTTCTTTCTTTCTTTCTTCTTTGAAACTAATTCACAGATTATGTATTCTGTAAAGCATCATTACCACATGATAAAAAGTGCAAATCTTGATAGATGGAGCACAAAACAATATGTGGAGGTCGAAAAGCATAAACAAGCTACAAAAGTAAATGTGAGAGCAAGCAATGAAAAGCAGGATCACGCTGGTCATGTTTGTGGTCAACTGGATACCCTCCTTCTTGAGCAACCAACAATGTAGCTCGTGGCTGCTCTCAGCAATCTTATCTCCCCAAACTGCCTCCTCTATTGAGCCAACAACCATGTTACTTGGCTTGAAGCCAGTAAACCTAAAGGTGTTACTTCTAAAGGCCATATATTTATTTATTAATATTATTATTATTTTTTTTTTTTTTAATTATTATTATTTTTTAATCCATTTTCTGCCCTTGTTCTGCCTCATGTCATTTTCATGGGGATCTTTAACAACTTAAATCAATTTTCAAAACTTTACTTTGGAAATCCTTCTTTATTTACAGACTGATTCTCATCACTCTCATTAGAAAACAACCATACAAGGCAAGAACCTCTTAAATTTCAACCATATATATTATAAATTACTGCTCAAAAATTCTCTTCTCATTGTTTATTTTTTGCGTGTCCTTGATAAATTTGACATACTTCTGAGTAAGCTTCAGAATCTTCATTTAAATGTCTCCTTTACTGTCATTCTCCTTGTAGATATTTAGGAGTTACATTTTCCCTAGGTAATTAACCCATTGCCGCCAGGGAAAATGAACAAAAAATGGGGGAAATGCAGTACTCACTTTTTTATATTTTTGTGAAATATCTGTTTCCTTGAATTAGCGGGAAAAAATGTATTTTTACTAGTGTTATAAATATAGATGGTGTTAATTTTAACAGCAAATTAGGATAACGTTAAATATTTTTGTAAATCGATGAAAAGGGTGAACGGGCGAGACAGGCAGTACTCGTAATTGGCTCATTGGATACTTAGTACAAGTGTAGCCATCTATGTGTAAAAACAATCGAACAAGTCGACTCACAGTGGGCATGGCATGTACGTACATGCCATCCCCGGCGGCAATGGGTTAAGATTATAAAACAAATTATTTTATTTGGATATATCAACAATATCGGTGAAACTCATTGTATAGCATCATTACATGATCATATAAGTGGTGTAAAGTCTTGAAGACCTTAATAAAGCAAAAAAACAAACAAACTTGGAGAGCACAGGGAAACCATACTGGCACTTACAAGCATTGATCAATGATCGAAACCAGTGAAAAATGTGTTAGTGTGGTAAGCACTATCAATGACAGCATTTGACCTATCAAACAAAAGCTTTCCAAACATGAACTCCAAAATTCAAGAATACTTTTCAATGTTCAATTTTTTTTCTAAACCAAACAAATCTTAAGTACTTCCATTGAATTGAGCTGAAAAGTTATTCATAAGTTTCTGCCCTTCACTTGGGGGGAAAAATGAAAACAGTGGTAACTTCCTCGGAAAGGACTCTACATTGTGACTCATTTGTAGGAAGTACAAATTTGAAAATCAGTTACCCTCGGACACCCACCCCTTGAATGAACCAATTCATGACAGGTAAAATTTCAGGTAAAGTTTCATGTGGGGAGGGGGGGGGGGGCAGAGGGTGATTTTTAGTTAGCTAGCCTACAGTATACGTACACAAATGAGGAGGCTACCAAAGGACTGTTACAGCCCACCCCTGATTATTTCTTGGGAGGAGCAAGGGCATAAGCACCAACAGACAAACAATATATGCAGATATTGCTTGTTGCAAACATACATATGGTATTTGAAAATGACACTATGCATAGATATGTGTTCATGAATCTCCAAAGAACATTTTTATATCAATATCCAAATAATGAAAATCACAATGATTTAGGATGATATATCTTGAAAGATTTTTCTTTAAAAATTTAAACATTGTGTACATTTACATATGAAATATGCTTTCCATCCCTCTTCATATTAGTTTTGATATGAAATTGGTCGTTTCCATCGTAAAGGCACTTCAATACAAAGGATATGTGAAAGGCAGCCATTGCACCTTTTTCATGCATTTTCAGTAAAAAATGCAATTTGTGGATGCTATTTAGGTTGTAGGTGCCATAAATATGCAGATAATCCACCCCACCCTGGTGTCCTATGATTTTTATTCAATCATTTACAAAGCTAATGCACCCAAATGAATGAACACCAATTACATGCTGGTTCCCCATGCCCAACAGCCATATTAAAAATTTATGAAAGAAAACGATATTGAACTATAGGGTAACCAATAATTTTTCCTTTCCATAAAAATGGGTTTAGTCCTATTAAAAGATAATTAACCCATTGCTGCTGGGGATGGCATGTACGTACATGCCATGCCCACTGTGAGTTGACTTGTTTGATTGTTTTTACACATAGATGGCTACACTTGTACTAAGTCACCAGTGAGCCAATTACGAGTACTGCCTGTCTCGCCCGTTCACCCTTTTCATTGATTTACGAAAAATTTTAACGTTATCCTAATATGCTGTTAAAAATAACACCATCTATATCTATAGCACTAGTAAGAATACGTTTTTTCCCGCCAATTCGAGGAAAGGTGAAATCAGGACTAGCAGAGCCATCTATGTACAGAGATATTCCACAAAAATATAAAAAATGAGTACAGCATTTTCCCCATTCATTGTTTATTTTCCCCGGCAGCAATGGGTTAAAACAGTCTGCCTTATGTGTGCGCATTTACACACTTATAGCCTTAACGACCTAGTAACCAGCTCATCTCCCCTGTTTGGAGTAAGGGAAAGATTCAACAGCTTTGGTAACTTTTGTGTTCATATATTTTAGGTATGTGCTTCTATAGTTGTCAAAATTGAACCGATATGTTGTATTCATGCTAGGATTATATGATTATGATAATTTCGTACTGGTATTGCCATCCGCAGTTCACATTTTTTTTTATAATCAGATTTTCAAAAAAATTAAAATAAATAAATAAATAAATATGAATAAAATAAAGGTTTGTTCATCCTGGCTTAGATTAGTTTCCTTTATATCTAATGCATTTATTAAATGTTTCAGACAGGAATATTTACTTTCATAAAAAGATATATTAAATTTCATAAAAAAAAGGAAAGCAATAACTATGATTGACTTGGTGACAGTCTTACACAAAATGCACTTTTTTTATAACATCAGACTTAATGAAAAATAATAGAGATAATGAACTTTGGCAATTGTCCAAATTTCCAACAGGCTGTTTTGTTCTTTGTTTACATAACCTGTGGTACTAGTGGGCATAATTTTCATGTATTAAATCATACAAGACAAAGTATAATTGTAATCTCTATAACATAAAAATTTATCTAAAATCATTAACTTTTTATAATAAAATGACAGAAGCAAGGGAGGCATCCCGCAGGATGATCCCCATCAGCAAAGAGAAAATATATATATAATAATAATAAATAAAAAATAATCAAATGGCAGTTGAAAAGAATAAAACTACCTGTACTGTAAGACAGACCTTGCCAAAAAGAAATTCTGAACATGCAAGTACAGGATGTGTGCGATGGGATAATTACATGCATCTGTTCCTCTCCAACTTTACCAAAAAGAAAAAGAAAGAAAGAAAGAAAGAAAGAAAGAAAGAAAGAGAGAGAGAAAGAGAGAGAGAGAAAGAAAGAAAGAAAGAAAGAGAGAAAGAGAAAGAAAGAAAGAGAAAGAAAGAAAGAGAAAGAAAGAAAGAGAAAGAAAGAAAGGAAGAAAGAATGAGAAAGAAAGAAAAAAAGGGGCAGACCATTATAGCTTTTTCTCTCATACAGATAACACACACACACACACACACACACACACACACACACACACACACACACACACACACACACACACACACACACACACACACACACACACACACAGAGGCAACCACAAACAAGCCCACAACACCCCAAAATACACACACACTACAATAACCCTATCTTATCAAACTTTAAAAAAAATAAAATAAAAATAAATAAATAAATAAATAATGTAAGAAAAGACACTACCTGGCAGCCGAGGGAGTTGGGGGTGCAGAGACAGGACCTTGAGGCACCAGCTGGTTGATCATGGGGGCACTGCTCGATCTCTTCAGCTTGCTTCCTCCTCCCCCTCCGCTCTGCCCTCCGTGCCCTGAGGATGACGGCCCGCTTCCACAACCCTCGCTGTCCGATACACTGGCCCCACCAACATCTACATCCATCGTGATACAGCTCGACACTCCTTCACAAGCGCATTCTGGTAAAGAGGAGAAAAAAAAAATAATAATAATAATAATAATTTGTTGAGAACTGCAGATAATATATATAAGATAATCGATAAGAAAAACATTCTAGAAAAGTTTTCACTTCCCTTACACATTAGTAAAACTCAACTGTTGCTCTTAGTAAATTATACATTTGTTCACAGTATCATCTCACTTGAATTGGACAAAATTTACTAATACTCATCCACAGTTACAAATAAAACTACACATAATGAGAAGTGAAAATCATAATCAATGATGATGGTCAGATGTGGACACCTGGTGAGATACTGGGGATGGGGATCTGGGCAATGTAGCCTCTTAAGATATTTGCTGGTGACCAAGCCTTTCAAAGTGTTTGAAAATGTGCACCATGCCTCTTTCATAAGCATTAATGTCATTTGGCTTTCTTCTTTTTTTCTTTTCTTTTCTTTTTTTACCCACTGCTTTGAAAGAAAGGAGGAAATAATCCATAAAATTAGCTTACACTCATTTCATGCACAAAGTTCTAGACACAGAGACTCAAAAGTGCCTCATACATATATACTAAGCATGTTAACCAAATTAATTACACAAATAGTTCACTGTTTACCAATGACTAACTACAAATGAATGAATAGCCATTCAACTTTTTTTCTATAACAGAGAATATATACTATACTAATAAAGAATAGAATAGAAATCTAAAAACTCTCTCTATATATGCACAAATACAAATACATAACATTTATAACATCAAAGAAACACATCTGGAATACTTTAAAGGCATATTTTCTCTAGTTTCCATTTTCACTAAAATGGATAAGGAGACTGCCTTCTCTCTCTCCCATATACCAATGGCTCTTGCTGTCTTTAGCTCAAGATTTCCAGATCTACTTTCAGGTGTGAACTAAAAGGGTTCACAGTACTCAAAAATATGTGTGTAGAAAAACAAAATTTCATCTATTATTTACTTCAGGTTTGACAGTGTAAAAGTAATAAACAATGTAAACTCATATAATATAAACAATAACCAGTTATAAACAACTTTCCTTCCCATGTTCCCCCCCCCCCTTTTTTTTTACTGGTATATAAAATCAAATTCCTGTAACCATGGTTAATATCATCTTCACAGATATTTTCATCTCTCTCCAAAATAAAATTCCTGGTCCCTCAATCAATGCATATGTTTTTTTGTTTTTTTCAAATATCTGATAAATCAAATAATAAAACAATAAATCAGGAACAAAGACAAAAAAAACATCCGAACGTCTCCCCTACAAAAGCCTACTACAATATTAACAAATAGGAAAACAGGTACAGTAAGAAATGAAATGAAATTGCGAGTTCCTCAACAGTCGGATAAATAACCATAACGATGTCCAACATCTATGCAAAGTTCCAAAATACCTGATTTTTTTCGGATGAAGAGCAATCTTCCCCTGACGATCCTCTCATCCAACTCCTCTCAAGCAATTCAAATGGAGGTGCTGTGTTTAGGAAACAGTGAACTAGCCTCTCCTGTGAATCATACAAATAAACAGCTCATTATTCAATCTTTTATTTAAATCAGTGTAGAAAAATGTGCCACCTATCCATTTCTTATTCTTTTTATCAGTTTGTGGACAGATTTACTTTAAAGTGTAACATCTTTAGCTGCATGCTGACATTTTCCTACCCATTCTAGTTGAAGAAAAAACTAATTAAATACCTTAAGGGCAAATACATTGGTGTGTAATCTGTCATTTAGCATTTACACTTGTGCAATTTCTTCGAAATATTGAAGCTAATAGTAATAAGCTACCCAGAAATGTATTATACCTATTACTGGTTTCTGCATTTTACTATACATAATATACATCTTGTTTATTACAAAAAAAAGTAAGAGAAAGAAAGAAAGAAAAAAAGAAACACACACACACACACAGATATATACACCCTTCATTTTTATTCATATGAATTGGACTGGGGCAGCCTGTCAAGATCGTTCTCAAGCTATACCGTCCTCAACAATTCCGACAGCCTGACTTTTAACAAACCGTTTAGTTAAGTATTGGCAACCTAATGGCAGTGTATTAAATCAATAAAATCTTGCCAATTACATGTGCTGAATATTGGAAAGCTGATGTGATAAAATCTACATAGCTAAACTTAACCCATTGCCGCCGGGGAAAATTAACAAAAAATGGGGGGAAATGCAGTACTCATTTCTTATATTTTTGTGAAATATCTCTGTCCATAGATGGCTCTGCTAGTCCTGATTTCCCCTTTCCTTGAATTGGCAG